AAAAGATGTCCAAATATCTTCTATCTATAGAGCAGCATCAATGAATAGAAGAAGTTGGCACGGAACGGCCAGAGGATTGTTAGTTTTCTGAAAATCGTAATATTATTTGATAAATCGCAATAGGTCTTATTTTGACGGAGGACCGTCACTTTACTGCTGCGAAACTTTAGGGGACGCGACCTGAGTTACTTTGGCATAACAGGGCTTATCTTGTAAAATACCTAAGATTTTATGAGTTAACTCACCTACTATACAGACAAGAAGTGCGGTCAGTATATAGGAATGCAAACATAATAAACATAGCGGTGACAGTGGAACACTCCGTCAAGTAGGTACCTCAGATGGAGCAAACGAGGTACACCTATTTCCAAACACTTATGTCCCTACTGCCTTCCCCCCCCCGAAATGCGATCAACGGCAGACTGCTGACCCCGATAAGATCAAGCCAAAGTTTTGAAACACAATCTAAAAAACGTCAGTTTTGTACGGCACTGGCGACCGGTAGCATTTGCTGAATAGTCGCTTCTTCAAGTGAGGAAAGTTTATACAAATTTCAAAAGAATCGTTCTCTTCGATGCATGACCATAACAAAAGGTCAGCTTAGCACTTGGAGATAGGCTTGTCTGGATAGATTTTGTCGGACGATATTGTAGGACAGGCTGATGCCAGAGGCAAGTGAAAAGTGTCCGTCAGCTTCGTGTGATTTTACGTTGTAACTTACCATACTAACAGCCTAGGTACCAGCTGTGTCGAGCAGCGGCAGAATACCGGCGAAACACGTGTTTGGGTCTTTTAGCAAGCACCTAGGCTACTACTACTACTAATAATACTACTAAAGACTGTCTGATGGCAGCATGTGAATATTTCACAGGGGTTGACGGGTTTCAACAAAAATATACACTAACGATTTCGGTCTACGCCTATAGAACTTAAATATACTGATATATACCGCGATCAGGTTAATTTATGAGGAGATTAAAAAGCTAAACTTCGTGGGATTTGTTTGAGCCAACGTTCGTCAAGAGCCGCCACTCGGTCGGTTTATATGCACAACGAGAGCGAAGGTGCGGTAACTGACTTTGACGATCGTGCAATAAGCGTAAACAAGTGTGAACAATAGTCGACGTAGTTCTGCGGTATACGCACCTGAGTGAGGACGATTGGAACTATACGGGAGTGTGTCACCACTAGAGATTGCCCAATGCATCTTTTCGAAAATTTTAAGGGCATTTTAAAAAAAAGTAAAAAAAGTCGTCAAGCGTTGGATAACGTGAGCCTACACCGTTCCTCCATCTTACGGCTTGAATATTGGGTGGCGTAGGATAAGTGGTACCAGAATTTTCCCTGGAAGATTTGGGAATGCCAGGGCAAAATGGCATCTAGTCTTCTTAATCTCCCCATGCTTCAACTGTCGCAACTCTACAGCAGTCAAAATATTTTGCGGTACTAAAAGTCCCAATGGGTAACCATATCTTAATGCTAAGCTTACGGGCGGGGGGGTGAAAGTACCGCCAATTTTAGTGGGGGAACAAGTATCTTAAACATTATTAGAAGACACTGCGGCCTAGTCATACAATTATTACTGCTGAATCAGTTGAGAATCAATAGGAAAGCAGCCGTGTACTGATTAATGAAGTATAGCATCAGGTGTCAACGTGCCGCCGTTCTTGGGCCCCCTAAAGAGGACAGAAAGCAGACCTTTTGTAGCTTTACTTTAGCCTATAGGAAGAAAACCTGGATAGGCAAAGGCATCTTCAGTTCTTCAAAGGACGCATAAAACAATGGGACTGAAATTAAGTTCTTCAACATAACCCTAAAGTGGGGGAGGGGCAACGAATGAACACCCTGGTGGGACGCCTTGGCCAAATTACTTCCATACTCCTTACAGCGGCAAGAATTTGGGTCTCGATTTAAACGGTTTGCAAATAGGAGAAGTTTTAGGACCGTGAAATGTAGATGCAAATAATAAGTGAACCCCTGAAAAAATGCTTTGACAAAACCGTTTTATGAACTGTATCAGAAGCGAGTGTTCGGATGGTATTCTCGACCGCCCCTACTCTACACAGATAAGATAATGTCAAGTTTCCAGCTAACATCACCTCCAGGTGTCTTTGCTCCTCTACTTGATTCTTTGGTGAAGATTATATTGTTTGCACAAATCTGCAGCTATTTTTAGGGACCGCCTCCTGGTAGGGCATTGTGTGGACCTCCAGGATACCTTCTGTGTGATTTATAAGGTCCCATCCAACTACCCTAAGCAACCAGGTCAGCGCCTAAGAGCGACAACGGAAGCAGCCACCATCTGCTTACCTAAGCTGGCTTTGTGCTCACAGAAGTATCTCGTTTACTTTCACTTACAAGTAGCCCATACGTGGTGATATGGAGATTATATAGAGGTGATATAGAGTGAACGATTGTGTCCAATTGGGCACTACTGGGCCCTTATACTTATTGCGCGCAAATATTCAGTTCTTTAAATAATTACTCCTATTATTTTCTACTTTTATATGCTCTACTTTTTCAATTAGTTTTCCACCTGCTCTGCCTCACCCATTTAACCCTTCTTACCACCTGTCCAGGGGTTTTGCGTGCTG